TACCACCACTATCTAAGAAGTCAACACAAGTAAAATAAATTAATTAACATCTAGTCATTCATTCAAGGAGGTCAAAGACTGGTTGTCATACAAGTCTACCAATAGTGTAGTTCATTTCCAAAATTGAAAGAATCAATTTCATTATTTTATCGTCGTTTTCGTCACGTCTTTGTGTCACCAAGTGTACCTTCAGAATATAGTCCTATCACTGACTTCAATCACTAATGTTCTTTCTAGTCAACCAGATATAATCCATCACAAGCCATTACAGACTTTAACCAAGGTTCCTCCAAAGTTGCATCCATAAGATTGTGCCTGATTGGCTACCCAAACCCAACATTCAAGCCAATCAGAAAGCGGCTTTTTTGTTGACAGGTTTTTTTAAACTAATCAAATCTTGAATAAATGCTTCATCTCAACTGTAGCTTTTACCCATCCATTAAGTCTATGACACACACACATGTGTTATGCTAATTAATATGCAAATTAGCCATTAATTACTGGGCTGGGGCAACAATCACTATCATGCTAGTTTTCGTTAAATGACAATTGACATACACTTACTGCAGTCTCTTCTGTCTGTGCCTTCTCAATATACATATGTGAGTGTACTACTTCAAGTAAATGCATTGTCAACTCATTTAAATCTGTCAGGGGACGAACTTTGAATGCACTGATGTTTCGTTTACCACCAAATGACCGGAGTTGACCAATAACACGGACATATGTATTTTCTGGAATTGGTTGCGCTCCATCTACATCTCCTGATGAGTCCTGAAAAATGGGAATGATCACAATATAGCATTGGTTTCTAATGTAGTGATATAGTTTTGTATTGTAGTAAAAGAAAAAAATGGTAATGTAGCTGGTCCCAACAAAAACTGGAAAGCCACAGTCTGTGGCAGTGAAAACAACAAACTAGCTGGAATTTAATTCAAAGGTAGTGTTGACCTGCTATATTACTGCAAATAACATCACAGAACAGTTTGTCATGAGATTGAGCAATTAATTATTTTTATTTATAACCACACTTGTTTCAGACAAACAAGTCAACAAAGATTAAAATAGCGACATAGTCTTATAACCATATAGTCTCTTCAAATACGGTAATTCTCAAGGCTTTCAGTTCATGGCAATAAACGTCTATTACTACGTCAGTTCTATTTTACTAAGATATCAAAACTGAGAAAAAAAACTACTTTCTTTATTAATGTCACTGTCACATAAATTGTTTCGAACACCAAAACAGCAACATTGTCAGCTACCGGTAAGTTGCTGATTACTTTGCTATGCGCACATGGAGATTGTTACATGATAAGTACAAGTTGGATCAAACCAATGTCAAACTAAAAGTGGGGACAGTTTGAATATAAATAGAAGATCATGATTACAATTGCCTTTCAATTTATTTATTTCATTCATGTAAATTGCTATAAATGGCGTGTCCGGTAGGTGTCATAGTGCTCATAAACCTGCATATTTACCTGAATGGCCCACCTTGTAAAAATGTGAAATAGTTTGAACTATTTAGTGATAAAGTTGGCAGTGTTTCTGATGTTTAAATCAGTATGGTGATCACAGTAAGTCACTCAATATATACTTACTTATGAGTAGTTCAAAGTTCAAGTTTTTATCATTTTTCATGAGACACATGTCTTCATGTATTTCACAAATTGTTGAAGCACTGCAGTTCTTTAGGAAGAACACGCCTAACATTTGAGAGAAATTTCGCTAAGATATTCCTCATAACTGATACTTGAATGCCAGGTTAAAAACTTTTGGGTACCTCAACTATTTTTTGAAGTAGAAATCTTAATTGTATATTTTGACTGATTTCAATTCTATATTGCTTCCAGAGTAAGTGAAGCTCAAGAATAACTATAATACTCACATCTGAATCAACCCACTTCCTGACATCCATGGTAGGTCCTGACATGTCATCTAATTTATAAAGTATATTAGTTGGGGCTTGTTGTACACTGCGTACAAGACCAACTACGGTCACCTAGAAAATACAACACAATTTGCACCATTTATTTTGATATAAAATATCTTTTTGATTATTATCATTAGTACTATGAATAACCCCCCAAAAAACAGATTATCTTCAGCAAAGACACAGTGCAATGCAATGATGAGTTTAATTGTTTTGCTGAGAATAACCTGACATCTCATGAATTAACATGAATTATATTTACCAGTACTAATCTCAAGTTGAAGTCATGACATCAGAAGATGACATCTGTGTTTTCACCATAAATTAAAACCTCTGCAGCGGTAACAATTTGAACACTAATTTGCATACTTATTTGCATTTTATTTGCACAATCATTACAACCAAAAATAAATGATTAAAATAAACAAAAATATGACCATGGTGGTATCAGACCAGAATGGAGATAAACAAAGCAGAATCAGTATCCCAGAGAAGACACCGTCATTTTCGCCATAGGGGGCATAGTTTAAGTTAAAAAGCCAATCAAAAGGGCTGATATACTGTATGATATTTTCACAAAAATGTTTTCCCCTTTTCTGATCTATTACAGGGTTCTCCGTGAGATGTTTTAATTAACACGCCCTGTTATCTGAAATTGGCGCCCTGTTTAAACGTCAATGCCCTGTTATATTTCCTGTGCCCCCTGGTCCCGACAAAGAATTGTTTACAAAACAGGCCATTACTCATTGTCTTCCGAAGATGATTCATCGTGCTCAGAGTAACTGGTTCATTGTTTTTAGCTGCAACTGTGAAAATTCTGGCTTGTTATCGTAGCAGGTCACCGTGAGGTGATAACACCACCGTACAAAAAGTTGCAAGTTTTTTCACCACGATTGAAAATGAACATGTGGCCTAGAAAAGTGTATTACCTCACCCATATTTTTACTGCCATCAAATATATAAAATCGTTATCGGTAAAACATGATTAAAACCAAGTTCACGCCGTGACTTGTAGCGGCAACATCGTCACCGCCAAGCGGAACAAAGACAGCCATGCACTTGCAAGATTGGTAAACGACCAGCGCAGCTGACGTACCATCACAGACATTGCTGATCACCAAGAAGTCCACACGAATGCTTGCTTAAACATGTAAATGTTAATATTTTGACAGATGTCACTATTTAAAGCTGAAAACGGCCATGCTTTCAACTCGCATTATAAGTGTGGGAAATAAATTTACTTGTGTTCTTCTTGGAACAAATATTCTGATTGGCTGTTTTTCGCGTCAATGTGTGGCTTCGGCCAATCAAAAGCATCGTTACATAATATCAGAGTGCACACAGTAAAATGAACTGTTTCCGGGTCACTGCCATTTTCAACGAAGCAGACATAAACAAACTTTCGATTCGAATGAAAATTATTCTTCTAAGTATGTTATTTTTTTTTTAGACATAATTCTATTATTTTTGATAGTAACTGTTTACTGCAGATCGAAAATCTTTTATTTTGTAGATTTTATTTCGCTTGATCATCTTGCTTTTTGGTGTCGATGAAGCACACACATTCATGCAAGTTTTTAATGAACAAATTACGAACGTTTGTGCGACATCATAAACTTTATTTTGCTTTGTCCAAATAAATATCAATCAAAATTTTTGCTAAAAATTAAATAAAGCATGCATGTATCTATTTGGTAAAATAAATTAACAAACTTGTTACCAGTACGTCTTTTTCTGGACGCGTTCATTACTGGTAAACAACTGATGTTGCCGCGTGATGAATCGTGCAGCTAAAATCAGCTGATTGTACATGCTGACGTTTACTTACTTCAAAATTCTCATTCATTTTGTAATAATAAATATATATATACATGTATATTATGCACATGTAATAATATGTAGATGATTAGATTTTTTGGTTTCCATTTTTTCAACATTCATGCCAATGATGCATGTTACAAATGTGCCACGCCCACTTTACATCGACGTGCCCTGTTTAATTTTCAAATCGTGGAGAACCCTGTATTATTAACGGTGAAATCATTAAATCGATATTGTGCATAGTTTGAAGTCAATTCGCTATCAATTCTTTTTTTTTTTTGCTTTTAAAATTTTGTTCACAAATGTGTCAGCAGCAAGAATGACATGTATGAGTATTGTCATGATGCTGATTTCCATCCGTTGAATTTCAAACAAAGCGTCAATCATTTAGTCATCCAAAGAAATTTGATTCATTTATAGAGAGACTATGATTTAATCTTACCATGCTGACTTCGATATCACCAATTTTCAGTTCATCGTCTGTAAGATTTATCAATTCTGCTACTGTAACAGGCATTAGGTTCTGTGCTCGTCTTCCCTGATGAAATGATAACAAGAATTAAAATTACAAGTTAACAGTGTTGGGGTAATTTAACATTGCCACCCATAGCACTGCATGTTAGCCATAACATACTGTGTAAAATTTGCATGATCTCCAATGTGTTAACACATTGACACCTACTATATTTATTTGACTATTTAGGGTGATGTTTAGGTCATCACCATACATTCAGTTTCGCCAAGTACTTAAGGTTCAATTGCGTCCATATAAGTTGTTGCTGATCACCCAGTAGTTGTAGCATAGATGTACCAAGTCTATTACATCCCTATTTTGGACCTTGGGATTGCTTTTCCTACTGCATGGTCTCATCCAGTTATTATACTTGAGATCATGAGACCTCAACTCAACAATGTATTAAATCACTTTGCAATTATATTTCACATGATTATATTTGCAAAGCGTACCTAAACATTTTTTTAGTCCATGCATGATATTCACAAACTAATGTGATAATATTTTATTATGTTGATCTCCATACATCTTTGTGAATCAGGCAAATTGTGATCTTTTCTAAAATATTACAAACTAATTTCCAAGGTTCTTGTGCAACTGAATTTATTTAATTTTTAATTGTGATTTATGGCAATGTAATCCTTTTAAATATCCCAGTCTTTTGTGTTCATTCATGTCTTAACAAATAGGAGTGAAAAACCGTGCAAGCCTACCATGGCCATCAACCACATAGCTATGGGTCATGGAAACTATGCATAAATTTGCATAAAGGCGGTAGACCAGCTGCTGCTGACCACATCCGCACTGATGACAACGATGTACATGTATGAACAGTTTGATTTCCTATTCTCCCTTCAGATCAATCAATTCTCACATATAATTCAAGTTGAATGTTATTTTAAGTATCAACATTGGGATCCAGATTTGTATATACAAAAAAGTGTTCCCCACAAATTTGGCCAGTCTAAGAAGCAGAATTTGGCTTCAACACAAAACTAGAGTTCTATTCACAAAATTCAAACTTACTCGTGATTTTTCTTGTGATCCTTGCATTGGTGATGAAAACCCACCCGGTGAATTCATAAATCCACCACCTCCCTGTGTGCTGCCAAATCCCCCACCTCCTCCATCTCCATAACCACCTCCATAACTACCTGAAATAGAAAACAATTTAACAGGTTAACACAGTAAATGATAGTACTTCACCATCTCCATAACCAACTCCATAACTACCTGAAATGGAAAACATTTTAACATGGTAACACATCCCCTGCTGAAAAAGTCATTTATTTTGACTATTCCTGGATGCTTGTAGCAGATGCTATGTTAACACAGGACCAGATAATGCTCTGATGTCTCCATAACTACCGCTGTAAATACCTGAAATAGAAAACACATAAAGGGGAACCGATACTATAAATAGGGGCAAGATGGCCACCGCAATTAGTATGCTAATCCAAACCAAGCCGCTAAAATCGTGACTAGAGCTTCGGGAAATGTGCCATTTTTGGAGATCAAGCTGTGATTCCAAATACATTTCTACGGGGGCATGAATATGTACACTAGTGATTACACTCATCTTGTTGGGCTTTTGATGTATAAATGTTGTAGTTTTCGGTCGAAACCTGCCGCGGCAAGTAAAAACCTCGAGTTTAAAATGGCGGCTAATGTATGCAGAATGCCTGTCAATCAATTTGAGTGAACGAGCATAATAAGTATTCATTTACTTAGTGGACAGAAGCGGAGTTAAGTACCCATGAGCATGTAGTACAATCCATGGGGTTCCCCTTTAACACAGACTAAGATAATACCAAACAGTGACTCCATAACTATCGCTATAAATAAAATACTTTCACATGTTATTAAGAACAATTTAATATTGTCTCCTTAACCACCTCATTAAATAGAAAATCAGTTAATAAATGAAAATATAGTACTATTGTCTCCATAACTACATGAAATGAACACATTTACAGTTAACAATATACTGTTCTCGACCGTATAGCGTCTATGCTCAGCTGACCAACCCCCATTTGGGACATTTCTATTTTCAGGGTCCTGTTTGTCTAAGCACCCGTCCCCTCTAAACTTTTCTAATTTGACTGTCACATCATAAAGCCTGGTCTATGATCATTGACTTTGTTGAATAATGGTAATCATATTTATATAACACAGTGTGGATATAAACCAAGGTAAATGTGTAGACCATGGTAACTGGGAGTAAATTATGCTTTGACAATGACCTGTTAACAAAACTGTAAGGCAGTGAATAAGTGGTACTTACCGTAACCAGGTACAAGAATTTGTATATACATAATTATTCACAATGGAAATATGCATATTTGACATTAAACTTCATTTTAGTATGGCTGTAATATTCAGTGTCAAGGTGGCATTTACATATGCTTGGAGCACTGGTTTAACATTGATTAAAAAAAAGGAGCCAATCAATATTATGTTTATTAAACACTCATCAGTTGTTGTTTTTAGGATTTAGCTTGCTAAACTGTATATGAAAGCATTTTCTTGAGGTCAAACGAGGAAAAAATTACTTGGCTAAATGTAGTAGAACTTCCCTCAGTAAGTAGAATACTGTAAAATAATTTATTTTAGCTCGAAGTAATTTTCGCTGAAAAGACATTTTGGGTGTTTTGTATGGAATTTATTTTCACTGATTGTTGATGAGTTGAATGTAAAATTTATAAAAAAGTATATTCGCTGTATTTTATTTTCACTGAATCATTCCTTCATCGAAAATGCGTATACGTATACGTTCATTGAGTACTCTGCTGATAGCAAGCATGGCGGACAGTGGCGATCCGTGGAGGGAAATGTGGGGGGTTTGTTTTGGGTGGGGATTTGCCTATCCTTCTTGCCCCAGGAGGTGGGGCATTTGCCAAATTTTACAACAATAATTTCCAAATCCTCCACTAAACCCTGAGGTGGGGAGGGTGGGGGACCGGGGTTGACATTAACTGGAGCACAAGTTCATTATAACGAGGTTACAGAGTACTAGCTTTACTTGTTAAGGAGCTTGCTATAC